ATAGTGTATAGATTAAGGGTTGGTTCTGATGATTACAGTGACTGTACTTCGAATATTTGTAACATTTCTCAATTGATACTTAGTGGATCTAGAGCTATCATTCATGGAAGCTCAACGGGTGTATAGCTCATTGTGACTGAACATTTGGACCCTACGGGGTGAAAATTGCGTGTTCAGTGTTATTTTATGATTCTGCACTTATATTTTTATTTGTGATCTTCGATCCTTTGGTATTTGTTGATTCGAGACCTTACAAATCACAATTAACTTTCCTCCCTTTCCATAATGAATTAGTTACCAAAAACCATCTTTAGTGTATACTATGATGATCCATGAATAGAAAACCAGACGGATATGTAATATTTTCTAAAGAGAAACATCCAGTGTGGCTCTTCAAATCTTTTATAATTTGACAGCTCAAATTACTTCGAATTTCAAAGTTCTACACGTTTTATGGCTAATTTGGTTTAATTTGCTATCAATTTTATGAAATGAGAATTAAAAATATATGTGCTTACGTGGAGTGATATTCGTCTTTGTTGAGCAATAGAAGGAATGGGTAGAGTGGGTGAGAATTCCAAATGAACACCGTTATACACATGTTTCTTATCGATTCATCAAAATCACTGCGAGCATGAGAGTAACGTTAACCGCCGCGTTTCTACGTCCTTTTTCTGTCTAATCTTGGTCGATTACATCAACCGAAACTTTGTTTATTCTTATGCGCATTTGTTTCTGATCTTGTCAACTCTTGCTTGCCATTTTTCCACAGAATATTTGTACAATTGATCCTAAGGTTGTCTCTTGTGTGAAATTAGGACCTATCTTTTCATTTTTGGCAATAACATCCCATGGTGAACGTTTCATTGTGTATTTAGTCCTTTTTGGTTAGTTGCTGGACAAAATATTCTGTCAATTAATTGGGCAAGTTTGTGGTGACCAACAACAAATGGTTTGAGAAGATCATAATATGATAAAGCCAATGTCTCTGTATTTGATTTCTTCTTTCTCATTATGTGACTCCAATTATGTTTTTCCTCTATTGGCTTGGCTCGAAGCAGTCTATGGTCGATGCCTCAGCAGTTACAACCGATGGGAAGATAGAAATTGCTTTGGAAATTCTCACGAGCCTCCATCTAGTGCACCGGGTTGAATTGCCAATTTCACTTCTCAAATATCTTAGTGAAGTGCAATTAAGCCAGCCTGAACTTGGTGCAAAGCTTAATCTCAAATTCAAGTTTTTACACTGACAAATACTACCTGAGTTTAAAGGAATAAATTACAAAAATTAGAGAAGCAAAAACTTAATTAGTACCCTGTTGTTAGATTTTATCAAGAAGATGCATCGAAGAAAAAATCCACCAGGTGAACTGAATTCAATTATTCAGTTACGATCACAAATCAATTGGGCCAGAGACAGAGAATGGGGGCAGGGGACGATTGCCCCCCAACATTATCCTCTAGTCCACTTGACTCGCCCCCGCAAAATTTTGAATTTTTTTTTTCCATTAATAAATATCGACCCAATAATTTACACTTTAAAATTCAACCGTACTAAAATTTTAGACCTAAACAAAAGATCCAATAGTTACTTAAATAAATAAATGGCAAAAATCCAATCCAAAAGGGATCCATTTATGGATCAATTATCCAAAAGCAACTACACAACGTGCGTTTTCAGCTATGAGTGTCATTAAAACAATATTGCATAATAGAATGGATGATGATTTTTTGTCAAATACCATACTCGTGTATATAGAGAAATAGATTATTAATATTTTTCCATTAGATTCTTTTATTAACGAGTTTAAAGTTATGAGAATAAGGAGAGACCAATTTC